ATTATACAAATACAAACAATAATATTGGATCGCGTATATAATAGGTTGAGAAACACTATTACATGACAAATAATTTATTGATTACAAGTTTTGTCTTTAATAATTCACAATTTATTAAGAAAATATTTCATTTCTCCTGGCATTAAGACTTAATAAGTAATGTTTAATAAATTTTTATACAAAAAATTCCAACGTTTATAGTAATATTGTAAAAAGGAATAAAAAAATATTAAATAATCTAAATTTCAGAACTTTTATATAATGCTTAAAGCACAAATTGTTAAAAAAAATAACTTTCCCTAACAATACGTCAATCTGAAATGCGAATTAAGACAGTCTAAATTAGATTAATAGAGATAGATAATTGTTGTATCATTCTGTATATATTTATTTAACAATATTTTCACAATAAATTATTAATAATTACAATAAATTTATGTATATAATGGCGAAACAAAAACAAATGAAAATATTTTTTTAAAAATTTTAATGTATACATTTTTGGATTTGGTATATTCTTAAGGTAAGAATCTTAAATAATATTCAATTAATTTAACGTTGAAAATAAATCTTTAAAAATTTACAATTTATATAATTATTAATTTGTGTAAATAATCAAAAATGAACGAATTCTATTTTTACTTAAATACTAAAAAAACATAAAATTAAAGTAATGAATGAAAAATAAAGTATGTATAAATTAATTAGAAAATCAACCGTGAATTAATTTAAATGGTGATTCATTTCCTAAAGCGAAATGCATCCTTAACTTGATATCATACAAATTTTCGGTGTATTTCTGCAGAATCGGCAGACCAATCGGCACGCAAATATCCTGAAAATATTTGCACTCATTCCTCAATTTACTCAGAATTATGTGAAGCTTTATCATATCCTTCATCAACTTCTTCTGCGTCTCTGTCGGTTCTTCCATCTTCTTGACCTTCTCCAAATCGAAACCCCTCTTGGTCATGACCTCCTTCAACGAGTTCCTGAGCAAATTCTGAATATCCTTCGTCGGTTGACCGAAAACATTGCTGATGAAATCACTGTCTTGTTGCCGAGTGAGGCTCAGAAAAGTGTCCCTCTTTCCCTCCAAATACTTCGTTGCTTCTTCCATATACGCCGATCGATTCTTCTGAATATGTATCTGTTTTTCCACATGTGTTATCAATCTTTTGAAGCGTTGATGAAAATTGTAGTACTTAACTTTGATTAAAGTAAAGATTTGCATCAGGTTAGTGATTTGTGACTTTTTCGCCATGGCCTTATCCTTGACGAACGGTTTCGCTAGTGAATCAATTATGGCGCCAATGGTGTTGTGCATGTGTTGCATCGTGATATGTACGTCCTTCTCTAAATCTGGTATACGGTCCTGCAGACCATCCTTAGACTTGGTATAAAGATGGACGTATCTCATTAAATCCTCGTTATCACAGGTGAACGTCTTAAACTTTTGTATCGTGTGCTGGAATCTTCTCAGATCTAACTGCATCGCGTTCAATTTATGAGCCTCGTTGTTCTCACCGTTCATAATCAGCCGCCCGCATTCAATAATCATCTGGAAAACAAAATATAATATAAAACAACAATAATATCCTACTAGGCATATTCAAAAGGTGGTACATTGTGTGCCCCTAAAAAAGTTAAGAGTCCATTTGGTTACTTACAAGTAGAGCCGTATTCTTTTCGTTGCTTCCCTGGACCACAACTCTATCACCATCTTTTGCACTCAGTAAATTTACGTAAACTGAAAAGAGACGGTCGAATTCTGACTCGAATTTTGACATTTTACACAAACTTTATCAAATAATTGGTATCAAACAATTTGTTTCAAACTATTGATGATAAAGAATTAACAACAAACATTTGATACCAAAAACAGTAAAAATCGAACAACTAGTGTCATGAACATTTCAGAAAGAATGATTGAAAGATACGAAAGTTGTCTAGTTTTAAACTATTTTTCCTATTCTCGGAGTGGGGATATTTCAGTTTACCCTTACTGTGAAAATATATTTATTTTCAAATTTCCTAGATTTTTTCTATTGCATGTAATTTTTCACCGAAAGGTTGACTACCTGAATTTACATATAACTTTCTCTTACAAAACGTAAAATATATCCGAACTTTTTACTACGATAAACAATTTCACTTAATTATAAAACAATTATTTCTTAAACATTTTACAAAAAAATATTTGTAAATGCAAAATATCTACATTATTTGTTATTATTATTGAAGAAACTGAAAAATGCAAATAAATAACAAATTTTATCTTTATATACTATTATCACGTGATTAATGATTTCATTATTGTTTTATACTTCGTAACATTTCATGTAAAAAAACATTTAATTATCTTGAAATTTAATTATAATTCTTTACCCAAATCGTCTCGTCAACTTTTCACATCATTCAAATTAAAATTGTCAATATTTTCATTTACATTTGTAGTGTTGATATAGATACCATCAAGTAATGATCTAAAGTTTTTACCCAAAATAATTCTTCTAAGTCTAATTATATATATATGTCGAATCGTCAGGATTACTCCCCGAGTGAGGCGTTTGGAGAAGCCATTATTACAAATAACCACTAACAATAGTTAATAAACTTAGTAAACTAATCCTTCTGCAATCTCAGAGCTAGTGATCTACATCAGCGATATGTCTCAGCTACCGTGGCCATCCAGTTCACCAGTATGAATCTGAATCTTGAATCCCAATCAATCCATTCCCGCTGATCCTTCGGCTGACATATTCCACTCCCACTCCTCCGAGGAAAATACCCTTCTTCCCTGAAGACCCCGAAGATGTGCTGCCCCGAGCATGCACACGTGTCCGTCCTTGTTCTCCCAAGTGCTGACAATTTTATGGAAACAATGACTCAGATGGTTGGTCAGGTGCTGTTGTCTTAGATACTCCGACATATATATAAGTTTCATTATATAGAAAACGCGTTATACGAGTATCGCGTTGTAGGAGGATTGTCGCAATTTTCGTGCTATGCTACAGTAAACCCTCCTATAACGCGACACTCTCATAATACGATTTGCATATAACGCAAAACAATTGCGTTATAGGAGGATAGACTTGATATAGAATTTGCATAATATGAGTATTTACTATATATTAAGATTTTTCTTATTTTTCATGGTTTATAGTTTTTAATTTGTATTATTTTGGTTATTAAATATTTAAATTTTACATGTAAATAAATTGTAATTATGAATTTAATGAAAATCATTTTGGAATATTTCACAGATATGTATTTAATAAATATATAAAGTAGTAATTTTATTTACATAATTTATAGTTAAAAAAAATTGTTTCTGATAATTGTATATATTATAAAATTATGAGAATCACTAAAAAATATATATGTACAAAATTGATTATAAGAAATGAGATATCATTATTAATCCTCGCCTGTCCACAAATTGATTTCTTCAACAACCTTGAATAACTCTCTCTTGAAATCTTGTAATTCATTTTCAATTGATTGAAGAGCCAGCAGATTTGTGGACATCGTCAACTTGATATCAAGCAAATGTTCGGTGTATTTCTGCAGAATCGGCAGACCAATGGGCACGGAAATATCCTGAAAATATTTGCACTCTTTCCTAAATTTACTCAGAATCGTGTGAAGCTTTATCATATCCTTCATCAACTTCTTTTGCGTCTCTGTCGGTTCTTCCATCTTGACCTTCTCCAAATCGAAACCTCTCTTGGTCATGACCTCCTTCAGCGAGTTCCTGAGCAAATTCTGAATATCCAACGTCGGCCGACCGAAGACTTTGCTGATGAAATCACTGTCTTGTTGCTGAGTGGGGCTCAGAAAAGTGTCCCTCTCTCCCTCCAAATACTTCGTTGCTTCCTCCATATACGACGATCGATTCTTCTGAATATATATCAGTTTTTCCACATGTGCTATCAATCTTTTGAAGCGCTGATGAAAACTGTCGTACTTAACTTTTATTAATGCAAAGATTCGCATCAGTTTGGTTATTTGTAAATTTTTCGTGAGGATCTTATCCGCGATGGACGGCTGCGCTAGTGAATCACTTATGGCACGAATGGTGTTATTCAAGTGTTGCGTAGTGATTTCTACGTCCTTCTCTAAATCTGGTATACGGTCCTGCAGACCATTCTGAGACTTCGAATAAAAATGGACGTATCTCATTAAATCATCGTTATCACAGTTGAACGTCTTAAACTTTTGTATCGTGTCTTGGAATCTTTTCAGATCTAACTGCATCGCGTTCAATTTATGAACCTCTTTGTTCTCAACATTCATGATCAGCTGCCCGCATTCAAAAATCATCTGGAAAACAAAATGGATAAGTTTATTGAATAACATTCTTTAACTCTTTGAGCGGCCAGAAAATTACTAAATTTCTTAACCCAACAATTTAAAAAAAAAAACAATAATTTTCTATTAGGTATGTACAAAGAGTCAATTTGGTTACTTACAAGTAGAGCTGTATTCTTTTCGCTGCTTCCCTTGACTCTATCATCATCTTTTGCACCCACCAAATTTATGTAAACTCTATAGAGATAGTCTAATACTGTCCTAAACATTTCAAACAAACTTTATCAAAGAATTGGTATCAAACAATTTGTTTCAAACTATTGATGATAAAGAATTAACAACAAACATTTGATAGAATTTGAAGAAACGAAAGTTGTCTAGTTTTAAACTATTTTTTTACTGTTCTCGGAGTGGGGTATTTCAGTTTACTAGGAAAATATATTTATTTTCAAATTTCCTACTTTTTTTTATTGTATGTAATTTTTCACTGAATGGTCGAATGGTAAATACAGGTGTATTTACTTATACCTTCTCTTTCTTCTCCCTTACACCACCTTTCTCACTTAGCTTGTGCCGCGCACAATTTCGCCACCGCGTGCTCACTAAACAATTTCCAAACCGGGACTCTGCAGTTCTGTACAACTGGACTAGGCTGAGTCTCGGAATTGATGATGGTGTGCTTGTAGATAGTACCGCAACCAGACAGACAGAGTAGGCGAGAAGTCTTGCAACCAATTATACAGAGCAATCGTTAGATCAAAATGTTGGACCTTCTTGAAAATTCCGAGAGGGCCAAATACACGTTTCAATTCCCTGATGCCATCAAAAGAGGGATGGAGGTAGGCAGTGGGACTTTGAGAGCTAGGAGAGCAGTAATTAATTCCGCACTAATGGCTGAGTTGTTGGGACACTCGAAGAAGCAATGATTCACCGTTCCTAAACTACCACAGGCACACAGGTCCGAATCGGTCCAGCCCATCCTGTGGAGATGAGCCGGAGCGAGACAGTGTCCCGACCTAAGTCTGGTGAGAATCGAGGAGTTCCAACGAGCAGGCCGAGTCCGTGAATACCATTACCTCCATCCAGTCCACCTTCTCTTTCAAAATGGAAAATATATCCGAGCTTTTTACTACGATAAACAATTTCACGTAATTACAAAACGATTATTTCTTAAACATTTTACAAAAAAATATTTGTAAATACAAAATATCTACATTATTTGTTATAAGCCATCTATTATTAAAGAAGAAACTGCAAAATGCAAATAAATAACAAATTTAATGTTTATATATTATTTCTATGGAGTTGGAGTTAAAATTATTAGTTCAAATTTAAAATTCTGTGCGTTATTCTTAATACGCCATCTATTGTTCACCATGAAACTAATTAGACATAAAAATGCGATACAAATTTGAATCGATATTTATTTCCAAAATTGTTCTTGTTTCCAATATAAATTTCAATTATTAAAAGAAAAAAACAAATATTTTATGTAATAATGTTACAATTAAAAACTATATGCGTTACATTACTAATCATGAAACTATTTAGAACAAAAAATACGATACAGTCAAAATTGTTATTGTTTCCAATTTATATTTAAATTATTTAAAAAAAATTACAAAATTATTTAAATAAAATATATGTATTTCATTTTGTTTTTTATTTACACTGTTTTATAAACATCGAAACAGTTCATGTCAAAAAAGCATTTAATTATCTTGAAATTTAATTATAATTCTTTACCCAAATCGTTTGGTCCACTTTTCACATCATTCAAATTAAAATTGTTAATATTTTCATCTACATTTGTAGTGTATTTGATATAGGTACCATCAAGTAATCTAAAGTTTTTACCCAAAATAATTTTTCAAGGTCTAATTAAGTTTAATTATAGAGAAAACGCTTGTATGAGGATTGTCTGTATTTTTGTTCTATGCTACAGTAAACCCTCGTATAACGCGACACTCTCATAATACGATTTGCAAAACAATTGCGTTATAGGAGATAGACAGAATTCGCGTAATATGAGTATTTACTATATATTGAGATTATTCTTATTTTTCGTGGTTTAAAGTTTTTAATTTGTATTATTTTGGTTATTAAATATTTAAATTTTACATGTAACAATTGATTTACATGAATTTCATTATGAATTTAAAGAAAATCATTTTGGAATATTTCACAGATAAGTATTTATTAAATATATTAAGCAATAATTTTATTTATATAAATTATAGTTAAAAAATGTGTTTATACATACATTATTATAAAATTATCAAAAACATTAAAAAATATAAATAAGTAAAAAATTGATGGAAATAAATGATATCACATTATTCATTCTCGCCTGTGGACAAGTTATTTTCTTCAGCAAACTTGTATACCTTTATTTTCAAATTCAATTTCGATTGATTGAAGAGCCTGCAGATTGGTGGATGAAAAGAGACCTTGAAATAATTTGATACTTCTCTCCAGCATCACGATATCAGTATAAAACGTATCCAAACGATCATATAAACTGTCCTGAGCATCCGTCATATCATCGTCCAATCCCACCGCCACTTCGAGTTTCTCAAAAGAGATACCTCTTTTGGAGATGACATCCTTAAGAGAATTCCTGAGCACTTCCTGCTTCTGCGAACTTGTTCCTCCTAAGACATTCTTGACAAAATCTTTGTCATCTTCCTCCAAGCTACTCAGAAACGCTCTTCCCTTCCAAGTATTGTACAGCCTCAGAAACATGCCTCAATCGAGAACGACTAATTAGCAACTTCTTTTCTATATAGGTGAACAACCGTTCAAAGCGCTCCTCGAAATCATTGAATTCTTCTCTGTTTGTATTAAACATGCGCATCAATTCGGATATGTTCATTTTCTGCTCGTTGTTTAAATCCATATCGTTTGGTTGCTCATGTACTTGCTCTAAACTTTGAATTGTTGTTTTCACTTGCCACGTAACGACTTCAACGTATTTCTCTAAATCAGGCAAGATATTGTTTAAACCATCACGAGCCTTCGAATGCAGACGAACAAATTTCATGATATCTTCGCAATCGCAATTGAAATAATTGAATTTAATAATTGCCAAATGTAATTTTTTAATATCGTTCAGTATTTTGTTCAATTTTTCCACCTCCAGCTTCTCCCCTCTTTTAATCAATGTTTCGCATAAAAAATAATAATGATTAAATAACTTCTAACGATAAAAATAATAAATGACTTGAGTCACAGTTAATGCTGTTTCCAAGTTGAAGTTTTCCGGACCTTCCATATCCAATTGCAGGAAGTTGTAACTCATCAGATTTGTATATAAGTTAAAGAGATGGGTAACAATTATTCTCAACATGTTGATATTCAAACAAGACAAATGCTTCGAGAGAACTGAGATGTTTGCTAAATGCTAGTTTCTTTCTTTCTGGGGTAAAATAAGAAGTAAAGATGTACCCTTCTTATTTTACCCCACCACATGAATTTTCATTTTTGTTTGAAAATTTCCTTTCCATTGAATTTCTCTATGTTTTATAGCATCTACCTGTTTTTCTTAATTGGAATTATTTGCCGAGCCTCTTACAAAAACGTATCACAATTACCATCCAAGTAATCTCGAATCTGAGAAATATGCTTGAGCCCAGTATTATTCATCTGCAGCTTTTTATCGAGATAGTCGTACAAACTTTCAATTGTACGATTGCATGTGTGTCTCACAGTATACTGTCCATTGTTTTATACAATTGCCACATCACAATTCTAATGTCTTTTGGCAATTCATCTAAATTGTTCGCGAAACCATTTTGAAGTTTGATGAATGTATTTCGTGGTCTGTATTTTTGATTATGTATTTCGCAAGTAAATCTTCACCATTTGTACCAATAGAATTTGGATCTGATTTTCGCATTCACGTATTAACTACAAATAAAAATAAGAAAATAAATTGATTTGATTGCATGTTGCAAACTTCCTCAATCGGTTTTACAAAGTTGTCATGTCCATTGAAATCCATTAAACTTTCATAAAATTGCACAAGACGAGGTATGAATTGTTTCAACATATTAAAAAAAAATATAAAATATGTGTGCGTTTTTGGAATATAGTGATGTTTTCGAACTAACTTTTAATTTATATCATTTTATTTCTACCACTTTTCCCAGAATGTTCACCTTAAAAATATTTTATATTTTAAATGCTTTTCTATATCTTTGAAATAAAAAAAAATCATTGAAATATTTAAAAAAAAAACAAGGAAGTATTCACATTATTCTCATTACATGATTTAAGATTTTATAATTTATACCAAAACATTTCTATTAAAATTTCAACAGTTTGACAATAATTTGACAGATTTGACCATCTTTACGTCAAATTATTATCAAACTCTTGCAATTGTTTTATTATCATAATTTTTATTATAATTTATTAATTCTGTGAAAAATAATTGAAAAATTCATTGAAACAAAAAAAAATCATTACGAAAAAGCTAATATTATTATTTAAAAAAAGGTATTCATATTATGTTCTATTTTTTCTTATTAACTATATTTTATAAGTATATTGGGAATATATTGTATTTTTCTACTAACCTCTTTTAATGTCATCGATGAAAACCTTGTGTATACATATACTTCATTAATTGTGTAAAGTTATGTTTAATATTAAAATAACAACTCAGTTCGAGAGTCCGCACCGACTTCATTCTCTTATCGTTGAATATATTTTTTATAAGTTTAGTGCAGTTAGTGTATTTACTCTGAAGAAGAGGAGAGAAAGAGGTCGACCAAAATAAAAACTCCCGCCAATTCCAATGTTATTGATAACGACATACAAAAAACAAGCAGTAACAAAAAAAAACTTACAAACTTGTAAACCCCAGATATAGCTGCGACAAGCCAATCATTGCAATCCACAAAAACTTCCACAACAAAAACGTATCTAAACAACTAAACCAATATTTTCTTATTGAGCACTCGCGAGGCTTTGACTCGTTCCGATTTATGATCTAAAAATCCAGCAAATAGAAGGATTTTGTCATCCAAACTAAGTCTGATTTATCTTAACTCTTTGAAAGTTCCTAAATTTCTAGTCAAATTCCTGAGCACTTCCTGCTTCAGCGAACTTGTTCCTTCTAAGACATTGTTGACAAAATCTTTGTCATCTTCCTCCAAGCTACTCAGAAACGTGCTCTTCCCTTCCAACAAACTTCTAAACCCCAGATATAGCTGCGACAAGCCAATCATTGTAATCCACAAAAGCCTCCACAGAAAAAACGTATCTAAACAACTAAACCAGTATTTTCTCGTTGAGCAAAAATCCAGCAAATAGAAGGATTATATCATCCAAACTAAGCCTGATTCATCTTAACTCATTGAAAGTTCCAAAATTTCTAGTCAACTGAATAAACATCGGATGGTATGGCCTATCAAGTTTAATCCCTTAACATACCAACCAAATTAAATGTGTACCACAGCCCTTCAAAGAGATAAAGACCAACTCGATGAAGTTATAATTCATCTCAACGTGTTTGGAAAATTTTTCGAAATTATTTTGTTCAAAAAGAAACATTTTCAAAAGAAATTTGTTCGAATGTAATTTTGTTTATATCCAAGTCCTTGTTCTTGCGAATTGCGGTGAGAAAAAAACAACCTGCATAAATCGGTGATTTTGAAAACACTTAACCTCAAGAGCATTTGGCCATCCAACTTTTAAATTGAGAATCATTACAACTTTTGAAAAATATTGCACGAAGGAATATTTTATATAATTATTTTATAATATTACTGTTCTATATTTGTTTCATTGATTGTTGACATTTTCTAATAAGAACATTA